CACTTTATGGCTGTTCAGGGGTGACTTTGCAGTCAGTACAGCGTGGCCCCTGAAGTATTTGAATGTGGTTTTGAGCTGCACTTTTCCCTCCCAGTTGAGAAAGTGTGGAGCAAATGCTAGATGCAGAATCGCCCCTTGTGGCAGCTGTGAAAGCCTCCTCCTGCCTGGAAGCCCCTCTCCCTCCCCCCTCTTTCCCGGTATATGGGATGGGCAGGGCTATTTTTGGGCAGGAACGCACAGGAATGGAGTTCCGGCTGGCTCCCAAGTTGGCCACACCCAGCAGGAACTCATTAGCATAATAGGCCATACCCAATAGCAGGAACTCATTGGAATTGGCTACATTAGGGGTGTGTGGCCTAACATGCAAAGGGGACCTGCTACAACAAAAGCCCTGGGTTTTGACAACACACAAGGTCAACAGAACAAGAAGCAAAAGGTGGGTGTGGCTGGATGACCACACTTCTGGTAACATGGGGTGTGGCCTAAAATGCTAATGAGCTATGCTCTCATGGGTGTGGTTGGATATGCTAATGAGTTTCTGTTGTTGGGTGTGGCCTATTATGCTAATGAGTTCCTGCTGGGCTTTTTCTATAAAAAGAGCCCTGGATGGGGATCGCGACATGGTGCCATTTGGAACTGGGGCTTGGTTCTGCCTTGCCCAGTGGCTGGGGATGGGATGTCCCGATTGATGCCACAGCTTCCCCTCGTTTCCTCCTTTCCTTGCATCCAGAGAAAGAAAGGAATGCCTGGAGTCGCATTCAGAAGGAGCAGGAGGTCCTATGGACCTGTATTCCTTAAATGTGGGGGCTTCCCACTTTCCTTGCAGAGAAGAATATATCTGTGCAAATGTAGACAATGCAAACTCAGCCATGGGGTGAGGAACCCAGAAATTCACCACCACAGTTTTAGGTCAGGGGTGTCAAACTCATTTGTTATGAGGGCCGGAACTGACATAAATGGGACCATGTTGGGCCGGGCCATGTGTGTCATAAAATGTAGTGTCAGGTGTAGCGGAGATATAAACCTTATAAAGGATACAAACACAAAGTTTGTTTTCTTTTTACTTAAAATAAAAACATGCTTAAAACATCAGCACTCTTGCAATATTTTGTTTATTTAAACAGTGTCTGATAACAGACACCTCTTGGCTCTGAATTATTGCATCAAAATGTCTGTGCTGTTGCAATCTTGAGTATGCCGTTCAGGTGTGAATCTGTAAGCTGCAAAACTGCGATGACGCAGCAGCAGCAGAACTGGAAGAAGAAGCAGAAGACAGCCAGTTCCACTGTGGGCCTGATAGAAGCCCTCCGGGGGCCTGATCCAGCCCCCTGGGCCGCATGTTTGCCACCCCTGGTTTAGATGGTTTTGAAAGAGGGTTCGTCAGTAGGTCTACCAATAGGTGTTAGGCATGGGGACTAAATGAAGCCTCCATTTTTCCGAAGCATTGACTGTTGAAATAACAGTGGGAGGGGGGGGGGCTATACACGCCTGATGCCAGGATTTTGTGGTTTATGGGACAGATTTTTTTTCTGGTGGGGCTGAAGTTCTCAGTGCAGAAAGCAATAGCCATTTAGCCCCTAGAAAGCTGTGACCAGGGTAGATAGATCTCTACTGCTGCAAGTTCATCACTTCTGCCAGCCTAAGCAACAGTTCTGAGAACAAGCCGGCAGGTGGGGGTGATGACTTCTAGAGTCAAGAAAGTGAACACTTGGGCAGAAAAACTCTCTTAAAGGAGACCAGCTTCTTGACACAGTTAGAAGGGATCATAGAGGTCACCTACTCCAACCCCCTTGCTCAGTGCGGGAATTAGTCAACCGCAGCACCCCACTCTGCTTAAAGGAGCACATTCCTTTTAAAAAATGTTTCTAAATGATTGAAAAAAAGCATTTACAGGAGAAATTCTTCTGGGGTTTTGCCTTTGGGGGCAGAGCCCCCCAAAATCCCGCCGTAGCTATGGGCCTGTGACTGTGGGGAGAACTTTGGCCTTTTCCTCCTGCTTTGTAGTCCTTCCACGAATATCTAGTTGGCCATGGTCTGAAACAGGGTAGAAGAACTAGATGGATCATTAATCTAACCCACTATGGGGTTGGATCCAGTGTAGCGTTTCTGCTTGGCTAGAGCTCTTTGTAAAAAAATAAAATAAAAAAATGTGCCGCTGAAGGCAACTGACTCATGGCGACCCCACGAATTCCCACCTCATGGGGTTTGCAAGGCAAGAGATGAGCAGGGGCCATTTGCCTCCTCTGCCTGGCTGCCCCCGTCTTCCTTGGTGCACTCCCATCCAAGCACTGGCACAGCGGCACATAGGGAGGGGCATGCTAGGCGTGCATGAGATATTGTGCATGCAGAACTGCCGCAAGTCCCTTTCTGCTTCCGCTTGTGCATCTCTGGATCCAAGCTGATACGTTCTTTCCAGGGCTCTTTTTGTAGAAAAAGCCCAGCAGGAACTCATTAGCATAATAGGCCACACCCAACAGCAAAACTCATTAGCATATTAGGCCACATCCCTGACAGCACAGCTCATTAGCACATTAGGCCGCACCCACATGTTACCAGAAGTGTGGTCATCCAGCCACACCCACCTTTCCCTTCTTATTCTGTTTACCTTGTTTGTTGTCAAAACCCAGGGCTTTTTTTGTAGCAGATACTCCTTTGCATGATAGGCCACACACCCCTAATGTAGCCAATCCTAAAGAGTTTCTGCTGTTGGGTGTGGCCTATTATGCTAATGAGTTCCTGCTGGGCGTGGCCAACTTGGGAGCCAGCTGGAACTCCGTTCCTGTGCGTTCCTGCCCAAAAATAGCCCTGGTTCTTTCTGATCTCCTAATCTGTTAATCCGTAGCATCTTAGAGACGGGCGGAACAGTCCTACTCAGACCTGCAGGCCCTGTTCCCCTGCGCCCTCCAAAGTGTCTGGGCCCCCATGGCTGCACAAGGTCCCGCCTGGCACATGACACCCACCCAACACCTGGAGGGGCTTCTCTCTCTCTCCCTTCAATCACTGCCGCCACCTGGCCTTCGTAGGAATTGCCCACTTAGAGGGCCAGGGCTCCCAGCCTCCTTTCTCGGTTCTGAGGCCTTGCCTCTGTGTCTCCCGCAGCCCAGCATCTAGTTACCGTAAGGTAAAGGTAAAGGTTCCCTTGATCGAAAGCCAGTCGAATCCGACTCTAGGGTTGCGGCGCTCATCTCCGTTTCCAAGCCGAAGAGCCAGCGCTGCCCGAAGACATTTCCGTGGTCATGTGGCCGGCATGACTAACCACCAAGGCGCACGGAATGCTGTTCCCTTCCCACCGAAGTGGTACCTATTGATCTACTTGCAATTGTTTGCTTTCGAACTGCTAGGTTGGCAGGAGCTGGAACTAGAGACGGGAGCTCACTCCGTCATGCGGCACACTCGGGTCTCGAACTGCTGAACTACTGACCTTCCGCAGCCTGCAGTTCAGCGTCTTAACCAATTGAGCCACCGCAGCTTATTGCTTTTGGGGGGCATTTTTTTGCATTTTTGTGTGTGCGTCGGTGTGTATGCTACTTTGGTGTAATAGGAGCGTGGACTCTAATCTGGGAGAACCGGGTTTTGATTCCCCACTCCTCCGCATGCAGCTGCTGGTGTGACCTTGAGTCAGTCTCAAGTTATTTCAGAGCTGTTCTCTCAAGAGCAGTCCTCGAAAGAGCTCTCTCAGCCCCACCTGCCTCACAGGGTGTCTGTTCTGGGGAGGGGAAGGGAAAGGAGATTGTCAGCTGCTCTGAGACTCCTTCGAGTAGTGAAGGGCAGGGTATAAATCCAATCTCCTCCTCCTCCTCCAGCCCTGCTTGCAGGGGAGGACGGTCTACAAGTTGAATATATAAATAAGTCCTCCAAATCTCTGTTCCCTGGTAGATATCACCTGTCCAGCTGGAGCAGGGGGGGGGACTTGACCGTCCCGTTGTCTCTTGATATACCTATCAGCATTTCTAAAAAGATGGCGGAGGTGAGGTTGGAAAGGAATCGAATTGATTTCCCTCTCTCTTGCCTTTTCTCTCTCTGCCAAGAGCAAGAATTGTTGTTGTTTTTTAAAAAAAATCCTCAAGGTGAAGGTTTTGTCAAACCACCAAAGAAAGATGCATTTCTCCATAGCGACCAACAAGATTTCCTGGGTATAAGCTTTGACTTCGCTTAGACCTCGAACATCTTGGAGGTCTTTCTGGTGTTTCTCTGGCCCCTAGCTATGATGGGGGCTATTTGGGGCTCCGCCCCCTTTCTTAAAGGGACAACCCCACAAGATTTCCCCCTGAGAACCGCCTCTCTCTTCTTTTTTTGCCTTTTAAAAACATTTTTTAAAAAGATGTTAGACCCAAGCCCCCTTTAAAAAAAATTAAGCCCCCCCCCCGGGGGGGAACCCTAGCTACAGGCCTGGTGCTACTGGACTGAAATCTAGCCCATCTGTTAAGGAATTTCTGATTCCCAACCAATGTTCCCTCTAAGCTGTGGAGGCTTTTGAGCAAAAATTCTACTTTGTGAGCTACTGGCATAAAAGCTGTGACTTGGCTGCTGCATAATGAGTTTGCTCTGGTGCCCTCCTTCCTGAGCGGAGACAAAAATGTGTGAGCCGGAGGCTGAAAAACTGTGAGCTAGCTCACACCAACTCAGCTTAGAGGGAACACTGTCCCCAACCACATTCCCAGAGCCCTCAGAGCAGAACTGTAATTCCCAGCATGATTTTGGCAGAGGTCACGGTTCATAAAAGCCGGTTGTGGCTTAATAGACTTGGATTTCCATCTGATATTGATCCCAGGTTACCGTTGTCATATAAAGAAATATATCAACTACACTGTCATCAGAGAGGTTTACCGGGGGCTTTGAAGGGTAGGAGAAAAAGAGAATTGTCTCCAGACCCTGGAAGGGGCATTTCCGTCCGAACTTCTGTAGCCTGCAGCTGGGAACGGATCGCCTTGACTGTTGAGCACCGCAGCATTGCAAGGAGGCACCGGGATGATAAATAATGCATTTCCTTTGTCTTGTAGGAATTCTGGCGGCAGAGGGGCCATCCGATCGGCGGTGAACGGCTTACATAGCAAATCTAATAGGTTTGTAAATTAGATTCCGTGTTCATTTGTTTTTGGCTTTAAGGCGGCTATTAATCTGCTTCTCTCCTTCTCCCCCCTCTCTCTTTGTGGGATGGTGCTCTTTCCACTTAGCTCATAGATCTGTTTCTTTCCACCTCTGCTTGGGATTTCCTTAATCATCGTCCCCTCCGCCTTTCTCTCCGATCTTGGCAGTGGTAATCATTTGCCAGTGACAGACAAGCTGCACCTCGCGGCAACTGGCGAGAGCTATAGAATGAAAATGCCTGTTTTACTTACTGCGCACTGTGGTGTCTTGTGAGAAACAAAGAAATTAAATAACTGAAGGATCCGAGGAGCCATCAACCACCCCTCCGCAGAGGAGGCTGCCTCGCGTGTCCCTGCATGAGTAAAGGTTCCAGCCTTGCCCCCCTCCAATCAGCCTCCACAGTGGAGGGCAGTTCTGTCCCCCTTCTAAGTCAAGTGTTATACAGAAATGAAGAGGGACTGTCCACTCTCAAAGAGGTTGCCTTATGGATCTTTGCATGAGTCGATGTTCTAGGCTTGGTTCCATCTCATGAGGAGACATGCTTAGAACACACATACACTCTCTCTCTCTCTCTCTCTCTCTCACACACACACACACACACACAAACACACACACACACACCAGCCAGTTTGGTATAGCGGTTAGGAGCGCAGCCTGTAATCTGGGAGAACCGGGCTTGATTTCCCACTCCTCCACATGCAGCTGCTGGTGTGACTTTGGGTCCATCACAAGTTCCTTCAGAGCTGTTCTCTCGTGAGCAGTTCTCAAAAGACCCCTCTCAGCCCCACCTACCTCACAGGCAATGTTCCCTCTAAGCTGTGGAGTCTTGTGAGCACAAATTCTATTTCGTGAGCCACTGGCATGAAAGTTGTGAGCAAGCGATTTGGCTACTGCATAAATTAGTTTGCTCTGGAGCCATCCTTCCTGAGCTAAGACAAGAATGTGTGAGCCGAAGGCTAGAAAACTGTGAGCTAGCTCACACTAACTCAGAGGGAACACTGCTCACAGGGTGTCTGTTGTGGGGAGGGGAAGGGGAAGGAGTTTATCAGATGCTCTGAGACTCCTTTGGGTAGCGAAGGGCGGGGTATAAAACCAACTCTCCTTCTCCATTGACTTCTAAAACATGCCTGTTCCCAATGTTCCTACATGTGCTGAAGTGAGTGCGCATAACTCTCGCATTCACCTATCCGAGTTTGCATAGGACACCTCACGCATGCATAGTGCAGTGTTTTGTAAGCAGAGGTTGAATGTGTGAACTGACTCCACTGCCTCAAATCCCATGGGTACCAGTCAGCTGGTTTCCTCTGTGGCAGCTAGCGTGAGTTGGCTCATTCATACATGCAAGTCTCCATTTCCTGGCATATGTGAACCGGACGTCTTGGGCTCACACTAGACGCGGTGCATTCTAATGCGCTGGGAAAGGGGGTTGTCATGTTCAAAAGTCATATAGCAGCTGCGAGGAACTATTTTTTCCTTACTGAATGTACATTAGAGTTACCAACAGTGTTCCCTCTAAGCTGAGTTAGTGTGAGCTAGCTCACAGTTTTTTAGCTTCTGGCTCACAGTTTTTTGTCTCCGCTCAGGAAGGAGGGCTCCAGAGCAAACTAATCTGTGCAGCAGCCAAATCGCACACTCACAACTTTAAGGCCAGTAGCTCACCAAGTAGAGTTTTTGCTCACAAGACTCCACAGCTTAGAGGTGGAGCCTGGAGACCTCCTGGAATGACAGCTGGTCTCCAAACGACAGAAATCAGTTCCCCTGGAGAAGATGGCTGCTTTGGAGGGCGGACTCGGTGGCATTATACCCTGCTGAGGTCCCTCCCTTCTGCAAACCCCGCCCTCCAGTGTTCCCTCTAAGCTGAGTTAGTGTGAGCTAGCTCACAGTTTTTTAGCCTCCAGCTCACACATTTTTGTCTTAGCTCAGGAAAGATGGCTCCAGAGCAAACTAATTTATGCAGTATCCAAATTGCTTGCTCACAACTTTAATGCCAGTAGCTCACAAAGTAGAATTTTTGCTCACAAGACTCCACAGCTTAGAGGGAACATTGCCGCCCTCCCCAAATTCCACCCCCAAATCTCCAGGAATCTCCCAACCTGTCGTTGGCTACCCAGGGCCGGCTCACTCACTAGGTGAACTAGGCGATCGCCTAGAGCGGGACGGCCCTTAGGGGCGCAAAACTGAACCCGGCCCTGTACTCTGGAAGTTTCTTGATTATTTGTGTTTTTCATTCTTCCTAAAATGCATTTATTTTTGAAAATTGGTGGGTGCATGGGGGCTGGGGGGCGCCAGAAGGGATCCTCGCCTAGGGTGCAAAATACGCTGGGGCCGGCCCGGTGGCCACCTTAACATGCCATCTACTGCAGGGCAAATAATGCCCCCAGGGCCCATTCTGGGTTGGAAAATGGCACCAGCGTCAGATGAAACCTGTTCTTCTTTTCAGTGCAGTCCTTATCCAAATCTGGCTCCTCCAGTGCTTGGGGAATAAGTTTCCCGCAGTTGCCGCCTGAGTGCGGGGAATGACAATTGGGTTGGGGGGGACCTGGACTTGTTTTTTTAAAAAACCTGTCGGTCTTGTGCCGTAGTTCCCTTTTTTAATTGGGGTATCGGCAGGCAAGCCGGCTTCTCTAAAAGAGCCGGCCAACCAGCTGGTGTAGCAGAGCGATTGCCGGTGCTGTCAGGGTCGCCTCTGACAAATCCCCCATCCCTGCCGTCTCTCTCTCTTCCCCCCTGCAGAGCTGAAGTGGGAATAAATGGCTCTTCGCCTCCAGCTGCTGTTGACAGAAGCAATGAAAGCATTAAGCACCATGTTCAGCTGGGCCCGTCCAAATGGAAACACAACCAGACTCTCTCTTTGAAGATCAGGTACTGGGTAATTACCTAGAGAGGCGACTCCGAGTCCTGCCGAGAGGAGCCGGCAAATTGTCTCTCTCCAGATCCTTCGAAAGTAGTCCAGAAAGCAATAAACCCTCCTCCCCCCCCCCCCAAGCCTGGCTTGATATCCATAAATGAGCGCTCAGAAGTGAGTTCCGAGCTCCTCTCCAGCATGGCCTTTGGATTTAGGGGAAAAATGGGAAGCAAAGAAATAGAGAATTAGAGGACCAGGTTGGACCTGCCCCTTTACCTTTCTGGGAAGGTTCCTGATGGGTGGTTACCCTGAGGGCTGGGGGAAGGTAGGGACCCCCCCCCCCAATGGAATGGCAGCGGTTCAGGAGCCGTGTGGCTTACACCCAGGCTGTGGCAACCACGGTGGCCTTGCCAGGCAAGATTTCAGAACTTACTATTAAATAGTCGTATATTTATACTCTGTTCTTCTCCCCAGTAGAATAGCAAGGATAGCCCCTGGGTTGTGGCCACTGTGTGACACAGAGTGTTGGACTGGGTGGGCCATTGGCCTGATCCAGCATGGCTTCTCTTAAGTCTGGAGCAGTGATGCTCTGTATTCTTGTTGCTTGCGGGTGAGCAACAGTGGGAGGGCTTCTGGAGTTCTGGCCCCATGGGTCGACCTCCTGATGGCCCCTGGGTTTTGGCCACTCTGCGACACAGAGTGTTGGACTGCATGGGCCACTGGCCTGATCCAACATGGCTTCTCTTATGTTCCTATATGGAGCAGAAGTCCATCAGTGGCTATTGGCCACAAGGTATAGAGGGAACACTGTGTCTGGGGCAGTGATGCTCTGTATTCTTGGTGCTTAGGGGGTAACAGTGGGAGGGCTTCTGAAGTTCTGGCCCCACAGGTGGACGTCCTGATGGCTCCTGGGTTTTGGCCAGTCTGCGACACAGAGTGTTGGACTGGATGGGCCACTGGCCTGATCCAACATGGCTTCCCTTGTGTCCTTACGTTATGTTCCATTCGATCCTCACAATAACAACCCTGGGAGGAAAGCTACACTGTGGTGGGAGACCATAGTGTAGTTGGCTGCCACTGCTTAGGAGAGATATGGGGGTGAAATGGGGGGAGGGAATTGGTGTTGCTCTGACGCTGCAACATCACTTCCAGCCAGAGGTCATTTCGGGGGGGATCGCGGGGGATCGCAGTTCCCCCCGGTGAGGTAGCGGGCGGGGCACATGACGAAGCCCCGCCCCCTGCTTCCGGCCGCCCCGCTTCTGGCCCTCATTCAGCCAGGAGGAGGCAGGAGAAGAGGGAGGGAAAGTTGCTTCCTCCCTGCCTCTCCCCACCCCTGCCTGCCTGGGGCCAGGGAGGGCCTTCGCGGGGCTTCCTTGCACTCCCGCTGGCCTTGCAGGTCCACCGCCGGGCCCCTCATGGGGCTCGACAGTGGAGCTGCAAGGCCGGCGGTGGCGGCCGGGACCGCTGGGGGCGGGGTGTGTGGCCTTATGACACACGTCCGGTGATGTCAGGGGGTGTGGCCTTATGACACACTTCCAGTGATATCAGGGGGTGTGGCATATGCTAATGAGTTATGCTAATGAGTTCCCCTAGCTCTTTTTCCACGAAACAACCCCTGCTTCCAGCACAAACCAGGAAGTGACATCATCGTATCAGTATGATGCTCTAAGATTTCGGGGCCCCCCCCCAGAAATCTGTGAAAAAAAACATAGAGTTTTGGGGGAATCCTAGAGCCACAGAGATCTGGGGGATTCCTAGAGCGTCACTGCCGTAGTGACATCAGTTCCAGGTGAGGTGTCACCTTGTCGCGCACCCCTGTTTCCCCGGGCTCTGCTCTCTAAATGCACCTGGCTGGCAACTCTACGAGGTCATCCAGAGAGCTTCCATGGAAGAGTCAGGATTCGAAGCCGGATCTCCCAGACCCTAGTCTGGCACTAACCGAGCTCTGTACCATACCAAGAGCTGGAAGCCGGGCTGAGTCTCCTTTCAAGCCATCTGAATGGGGTGGTATGGTGAGGATACTTTGGGGTGGTATGGTATCGATACTCCACTGGGAATTGGCTGGCACTGAGCCGCTGCTGGCACTGAGCCCCTCCTCTGGAAATACTGCAGGGCAGGGGTCCCCAACCTTTTTAACCACTACAGTTTGGTGTAGTGGTTAAGAGCAGCGGACTCTAATCTGGAGAACTGGGTTTGATTCCCCACTCTTCCACTTGAAGCCAGCTGGGTGACCTTGGGTCAGTCACAAGCAGTGTTCCCTCTAAGCTGAGTTAGTGTGAGCTAGCTCACAGTTTTTTAGCCTACAGCTCACAGATTTTTTGTCTTAGCTCAGGAAGGATGGCTTCAGAGCAAACTAATTTATGCAGTAGCCAAATCGTTCCCTCACGACTTTGATGCCAGTAGCTCACAAAGCCGAATTTTTGCTCACAAGACTCCACAGCTTAGAGGGAACATTGGTCACAAGTTCTGTCAGAGCTGTTCTCTCAGGAGCAGTCCTTGAAAGAGCTCTCTCAGCCCCACCTACCTCATAGGGTGTCTGTTGTGGGGAGAGGAAGGGAAGGAGATTGTAAGCCGCTCTGAGACTCCGAGTGAAGGGCGGGGTATAAATCCAATCTCCTCCTCCTCTTCTTCTTAAACATTTATTTATTTTTGACAAGTATTTTGTGTGTATGGGTGTGTTTGTGAGCCTGGAAGTCGTGGTGACTTCTGGCGACCCCCTAGTGGGGCGAGGACATTTCAGAGAGGTAGCTTTGCTATTGCCTGCCTCTGCCTCACAGCCCTGGTATTCCTTGGAGGTCTCCCTGCTTAGCTTCTGAGATCTGACGAGATCAGACTTGCCGGGGCTGTCCAAGTCAGGGTGCGTCCCCAGCCTTTTTGAGCCTACGGACATCTTTGGACTTCTGACACAAGGTGGTGGGCACAAATACAAAATGGCTGCTGCAGGAGGTGGCGCCAACCACAACACTGTAAGGAGCTGAGGTTATACATACCTCTAATAGTAACAGTTGGGGCTGCGGTGGCTCAGTGGTTAAGACACTGAGCTGCAGACCGGAAGGTCGGTAGTTCGGCAGTTCGAGACCCGAGTGCCTCGTGACGGAGTGAGCTCCCGTCTCTGGCCCCAGCTCCTGCTAACCTAGCAGTTCGAAAGCAAGAAACTGCAAGTAGATAAAGAGGTACCACTTCGGTGGGAAGGTAACAGCATTCCATGCACCTTGGTGTTTAGTCGTGCCGGCCACACGACCACGGAAATGTATTCGGACAGCACTGGCTCTTTGGCTTGGAAACTGAAATGAGCACCACCCCCTAGAGTCGAATTCGACTGGCTTTCGAGCAAGGGAAGCCTTTACCTTTACTAACAGTAACACTTCAACATTCCAGGCAAAAGCCCTGTTTAACAGGATACCTTTAACTCTCCAGTGGCCAATCAGAAACCCTGCTGGGGAAAAAGCCCACCTGGTCCCTCCCACTTTCTAAAAACACTCCGAGGGTGCCAGGAAAGGCCCACGGGCACCATTTTGGGAACTTCTGCTGTCGGGATTGGCTTCCGCCTGGGAGGTGGTGGTTGTACCTTAAGAACATAAGAGAAGCCAGTGTTGGATCAGGCCAATGGCCCATCCAGTCCAACACTCTGTATCACACAGTGGCCAGAAATACCAGGGGCCATCAGGAGGTCCAGCAGTGGAGCCAAGACACTAGAAGCCCTCCCACTGTTGACCCCCCCTCCCAAGCACCAAGAATACAGAGCATCACTTGCCCCAGACCGAGAGTTCCTACCTATACCTTGTGGCTAATAACCACTGATGGACCTCTGCTCCATATGTTTATCCAATTCCCTCTTGAAGCTGTCCATGCTTGTAGCCACCACCACCTCCTGTGGCCGTGAATTCCATGTGTTCATCATTCTTTGGGTGAAGAAGGACTTCCTTTTATCCATTCTAACCCGACTGCTCAGCAATTTCATGGAGTGCCCACGAGTTCTTGTACTGTCAGAAAGGGAGAAAAGTACTTCTTTCTCGACCTGCTCTATCCCATGCATAATCTTGTAACTTTCAATCATGTCACCCCTTAGCCGTCCTTTCTCCAAGCTAAAGAGCCCCAAGCGTTTTAAACTTTCTTCATAGGGAAAGTGTTCCAACCTTTTTATCATTCTAGTTGCCCTTTTCTGCACTTTTTCCAATGCTATAATATCCTTTTTGAGGTGTGGTGACCAGAACTGTACACAGTACTCCAAATGAGGTTGCACCATTGATTTATACAGGGGCATTATGATACTGGCTGATTTGTTTTCAGTTCCCTTCCTAATAATCCCCAGCATAGCGTTGGCCTTTTTTATTGCAGGTCGCACACTGTCTAGGCATTTTCATTGAGTTACTAGGACTTCAAGATCTCTCTCTTGGTCAGTCTCTGCCAATTCAGACCCCATCAACGTGTATTTATAGTTAGGATTTTTGGCTCCAATGTGCATCACCTTGCACTTGGCCACATTGAACCCCATTTGCCACGTTGACGCCCACTCGCCCCTCCTCAACAGATCCCTTTGGAGTGCCTCACAATCCTCCCTCGTTCTCACCACCCTGAACAACTTCGTATCATCCGCAAATTTAGCCACTTCACTGCTTACTCCCAACTCCAAATCATTAATGAACAAGTTAAAAAGCATCAGACCAAGTACTGATCCCTGCGGTACCCCACTGCTTACCACCCTCCACTGAGAAAATTGCCCATTTATACTCACTCTCTGTTTCCTATTAATCAGCCAGTTTTTGATCCACAAAAGGACTTGTCCTTTTATCCCGTGACTATTGAGCTTACTTAGGAGCCTTTGATGAGGAACTTTATCAAAAGCTTTCTGGAAGTCAAGGTAAACAACATCTATTGGATCCCCCTTGTCCACATGTTTGAGGTGAAAAAGTATCTAGAGCTGACCCCGTCTCAAAGAAGTGAAAAGCTGCCAGTGATTCAGAATTAGCACACGCATCAGAGCTGAGGCAGGGCCGCTTTAACTAGGACTTGTGTCCTTGTTTTTCATTGTCAGAAAACACATCTTGAAGTTTCTGGATGCCGAGAAAGACATTTCTGTGCTGAAAGGGACTCTGAAGCCCGGGGATATCATCCACTACGTCTTCGACCGGGACAGCACAATGAACGTTTCCCAAAACCTCTACGCACTCCTGCCCAGGACCTCGCCCCTGAAGGGCAAGCACTTCCGGACGTGTGCGATTGTGGGCAACTCGGGCATTCTCCTGAACAGCGCCTGCGGGGAGGAAATCGATGCTCATAACTTTGTGATAAGGTAACGGACGGGAAGGAGACAGAGGCCTTCTTCGATCTTGTGTTGGAAATTCAATGTGAACTTTTTAAAAAAATGTTGATTGGGGGTTGGGGGCATCTTTAAGTTTCCTTTAATGTTTACTACTGCAGACTTCCAGTGTTCCCTCTAAGCTGAGTTAGAGTGAGCTAGCTCACAGTTTTTTATCCTCCAGTTCACACATTTTTGTCTCAGCTCAGGAAGGATGGCTCCAGAGCAAACTAATTAATGCAGCAGCCAACTGGCTTGCTCACAACTTTAATGCCAGTAGCTCACAAAGTAAAAATTTTGCTCACGAGACTCCACAGCTTAGAGGGAACATTGCACTTCATAAAACGATGTCACTGGAGACCAAAGGGTTAAATAAACAAACCTTACTGCACAATAAGGGCAATTCAGTGGTGGGATTTGGTTGCCTGAAGATTAGTTTCTTCCTCCTTGGAGGTGTTTAAACAGAGATTGAACACAGGGACATAAGAAGAGCCCTGCCGGATCAGACCAATAGTCCATCCAGTCCAGCATCCTGTCTCACACGGTGGCCAACCAGTTCCTCTGAAGGGCCAGCAACAGGGCTTAGAGGCCAAGGCCTTTGTAAGAACATCAGAAGAGTCTTGCTGGATCAGAGTAGCGGTCCACCTAGTCCAGCATCCTGTCTCACACAAGGGCCAACCAGTTCCCCTGGAGGGCCAACAACAGGGCAGAGAGGCCGAGGCCTTTCTCTGAATAGAACATCAGAAGAGCCCTGCTGAATCAGACCAGTGGTCCATCTAGTCTAGCATCTGGTCTCACACAGTGGACAACCAGTTCCTCTGGAGGGCCAACAACAGGGCAGAGAGGCCGAGGCCTTCCCCTAAGAAGAACATCAGAAGAGCCCTGCTGGATCAGACCAGGGGTCCATCTAGTTCAGCATCCCGTCTCACACAAAGGAGCTCCTGCTACAAAAAGAGCCCTGCCGGGAATTCTGTTGCTGTTCCGCACGGGAGGAGAAGGGGTCAGTGGAGTCTCGGTGTGCGTGGCGTGGGTTGAAATCCTTTGGGGAAGAAAGATTCTTCCAGTCCTCCTCCAACAAACAGCACAGCTCAATCCAGCAGCACATTGTCCTACGCAAGCCAAGCCCTATTGTGAGGGACTCTTTTTCCAGCAGCGGGGCTTGGGCGGGGAGGACTGCCCAGTTGATTGAGCCGGTGTTAATTGGTGGGAGAGGCTGGGGTTTCCTCTCTCCCCCCCTCCCTCTTAATTCACTCCGTGCCGATTCATCACACAGAGAGCCCTTTCTGTCAGGGCAGGGATGTACTGGAGCCGAATGACCCAGCAACAAAGGAAGGGTATTTGAGCCAACCCAACAATTGGCAGAAAGGGAGCTAGTTTGGACGTGCCCCAGAGAACTTGGGAAAGGTGGCACGGAAACAGAGAAACGGGCAGATGCACAAAACTTCTCCCTTTCCTCCCATGTCCTGTATATTCCATCCTTACAGCAGGCCACTATCCACAAGTCCCCTCGTATCCCTTCATTGTGTCAACTTGGCTCTCTCTCACACACCGCCGTTCCTTATTTGCCAGTTTGGTGTAGTGGTGAAGTGCGCGGACTCTAATCTGGGAGAACCGGGTTTGATTCCCCACTCCTCCACTTGCAGCTGCTGGATGACCTTGGGCAAGCTATAGTTCTGTCAGAGCTTTTCTTGAAAGAGCAGTTCTCTCAGAGCTCTATCAGCCCTACCTACCTCACAGGGTGTCTGTTGTGGGGAGGGGAAGGGAAAGGAGTTTGTAAGCTGTTCTGAGACTCTTAAGTAAAGGGCAGGGTATAAATCCAATCTCCTCCTCCTCCTCCTCTTCTTCTTTTTCATTGGAAGCTGTGCATGTAAACATTCAGTGCACATCCAACTCCCTGACGCAGCAAATAGCAAGGAGGATTGCCATCCCCTGAATGGGGGTGGGATTTTTCCTGCTTTTGGGGAACCCAATCCACTTCTTCTTCTTCTTCTTCTTCTTCTTCTTCTTCTTCTTCTTCTTCTTCTTCTTCTTCCCAACAGATTTCCCCAAAGCCCTGCCAAACTTCACCAGCAATGTAAATGGCTATCGCAATATCCCACAGCAAGGAGTCCCATGGGTTAATGGTGCATAGTTTCAGGAAATACTTCTTCGTTGTATTGCAAACAAACAATTTCCAGGTTTTTTAAAAAAACCTTCCTATATCTGCCTTTATTTTACTTTGTGGTTTGAGTCAACCTTTTCTTCCATAAGTTTGGTGTAGTGGTTAAGTGCGCGGACTCTAATCTGGGAGAACCGGGTTTGATTCCCCACTCCTCCACTTGCAGCTGCTGGATGACCTTGGGCAAGCCATAGTTCTGTCAGAGCTGTCCTTGAAAGGGCAGCTCTTGAAAAGAGTTCTCTCAGCCCCACCTACCTCTCAGGGTGTCTGTTGTGGGGAGGGGGAGGGAAAGGAATTTGTAAGCCGCTCTGAGACTCCGAGTGAAGGGCGGGGTATAAATCCAATCTCTTCTTCTTCTTCTTCATCACAGGAATTTTATGTGCCAGTGAGAGGACCAAGTTCTATCCCTGGATGGGGGAAGCTCAGGGGTAGAGCATCTGCATCGTATGCAAAAGGCCCCAGGATCTGGTAGCATCCTATACAATATCTTCTTCTGTCTGACATCTTACAAGGGCTCGTAACAATCGCAACAGATTGTGCTGGGCTACATGGACCAATGGCTTGACTCTATATAATGATGTGTCACATGCTTATATAGCAAGCCCAAATTCACGGCTAGTCAGCTCTGTGTGTTGGTGCACACAGTATATAAAATCAGGGCTATTTTTGGGCAGGAACGCACAGGAACGGAGTTCCGGCTGGCTCCTGAGTTGGCCACGCCCAGCAGGAACTCATTAGCATAATAGGCCACACCCAACAGCAGGAACTCATTAGGATTGGCTATATTAGGGGTGTGTGGCCTAACATGCAAAGGAGTTCCTGCTACAAAAAAAAGGCCCTGGGTTTTGACAACAAACAAGGTCAACAGAATAACAAGCAAAAGGTGGGTGTGGCTGGATGACCACTTTTCTGGTAACATGGGGGTGCGGCCTACTGTGCTAATGAGCTGTGCTGTCAGGGGTGTGGCCTAATAGGCTAATGAGTTCCTGCAGTTGGGTGTGGCCTATTATGCTAATGAGTTTCTGCTGGGCTTTTTCTACAAAAAGAGCCGTGTATAATAAAATAGATAAAAGGAGATTAAAAATCAACTTCATCAGGATGCAAGAACAGAAAACTCCCACCATCTTGCATAACAGAGGGGAGGACTGGGGCCATTAGTAGAGGGCACCCGGCCCTCCGGCGGTATCGCTCTATAATGGAGCAGTGGTAGTAGTGGCAGTGGCGGCCCCTACTCGAATGCCTGGTGGAAGAGCTCCGTCTTACAGGCCCTGCGGAACTGCAAAAGGTCCCACAGGGCCCTGATCTCCTCCAGGAGCTTGTTCCACCAGATAGGAGCCGCCACTGAAAAGGACCTGGCCCTCTTTGCAGCAAGCCTTGCCTCCTTAGGGCCCAGGGTCAGCAGCCGGTGTTGTGACCCCGACCGAAGTGCTCTTTGGGGAATATGTGGGGAAATGCGGTCCCTCAGGTTCCCTGTTCCATGGGCCCGTTGCAGGTCAGGCAAGCAGCACACATGATCGCAAGAAGCTGCCTTCTACTGAATCCAGACCCTTGGTCCATCAAAATCAGCATTGTCTACTCAGACCGGCAGCAGCTCTCCAGGTTCATCTACCGCCAGATACTTTTTTTTAACTGGAGAGGCCGGGAATTGGACTTGGAACCTTCTGCCGAGCAGATGCTCTGCCACTGAGCCATGGCCCCTCCCAGAGTGAGAGCAGGCCCATCGCCAGGATTTTTTAAGTCAGGGGGCATTTAAATTTCTTAAGGGGGACTGGCTACTTGAATTAAAGGAATACCTGGCTCCTTCCCCGCACCTGCCACTGTTTGGGGGCCCTGGGCTGGATGGGGAGTTGTGGGGCCTTGCCAGAAAGTCAGGGGGCCTATCCCGGAGATGCCCCACTGTGGCTGCGGGCCTGAGTGAGAGGCTTATTTCCCCCTCTTCCCACACCACATTCTGTTGGGATTCTGAGATTCAAGATCGATGGTCGTATGGCAAACACGAGAGCCACATTAGTAAAAGAAAAATATCTTTACTACAAAACAAAATAAAACATATTTCCTAAAACATGGGAGCTGCGGTGGCTCAAGTGGTTTAGACGCTGTACTGCAGGCTGTGGAAGGTCAGTAGTTCAGCAGGTCGCGACCCGGGGGCCGCCAGACGGAGTGAGCTCCCGTCTCTAGTTCCAGCTCCTGCCAACCTAGCAGTTCGAAAGCAAGAAATTGCAAGTAGATAAATAGGTACCACTTCGGTGGGGAGGTAACAGCGTTCCGTGCGCCTGGGTGTTTAGTCATGCCGGCCACATGACCACGGAAACGTCTTTGGACAGCGCTGGCTCTTCGGCTTTGAAACGGAGATGAGCATCGCAACCCTAGAGTCGGATTCGACTGGCTTTCGAGCAAGGGAACCTTTACCTTTACCTTTTTAAGGTACTTTGGATAAAAGAAATAAAATTAAAAGGTTACATATTTGCAGTTACTCTCAGTACCAAATGCGAACAGCTACATCTTTCTAACCGTGTTGGCTTCTAGAGGAGAGCTTCCTCTCTGCTTCACACAAAGAGCCATAAACCTTGTGAATACATGAATGCTAGATCAAAGCATTTCCTCAAACAAGTTGTTAGTTGACCAATACAAAGGTTACAGTTCACTTCATTAGGGTAAGCAACTCCCACAAACCTTCCCGCTGTAGAATACATTATGTAAGGTAACATCCTGTTTCCTAACAAACAACATTTAACTCTGTAATGACTGAAGTGTAAGCAACTTGAAACGCCACACATTCCTTATCTGAATCGGTTCCTGCTATGAGAAAGAAACTTTTTCGGGAGCTCTGTATGCGGAACTCTGAGCACTTGTGTGTGTTTTGGCCCTTGACACTTTGAAGTTCGTGGTTCAAGCCTGAAGTATCTGACGTTTGCTGTGGGGGATAGCCTGTGACTCGGGTTTCCAGCCCCCCAATCGGAGCGGGGAGCCCCCACTTTTTCAGGCTCTTGCCTACCACCAGCTAGCTGTCCGGCAGGGGGAAATCCCACCCCCAACTGACCTTTTTAGGCCTACTTCCAGTTTCAGGCCTACTTCTGGTTGGGGGTGACGCTCTGGTTCTTAGGAAAAATTCTATGGTCTGAAGCCAAATTTACCGTAGAGTTTTGCCCAAAAACCAGTGTCACCCCTGATCAGAAGTAGGCCCGAAACTGGAAGAAGGCCCAAAAAATGCCCAGCATCACTTCCGGTCTCCCAGAAGGACGTCCGGAGACCCCCGCTGGCCAGGTAAGTTGACCTGGCAATGCTACCTGTGACTTAATGATAGATGGTCATTAGCAGCTCCAGTTCAAAGGCTGTGAAGCAACAGGACTGGGAAAGATCTTGGAGAACCACTACCTCTTGAAGGAGACAGGACCATAGCAACAAAATTGCAGGAGGTCAAAGCCCCTCTGTATACTGCCTTGGTCAGGCTGCACCTTGAGTCCTGTGTGCAGTTCTGGAGGCCTCGCTTCAAAAAGGATGTGGGCAAGATCGAGAGGGTGCAGAAGAGAGTGACGAGGATGATCGGGGGTCTGGAGACCGAGCCCTACGAGGAAAGGCTGAGGGCCCTGCTTAGTTTGGAGAAGAGGAGATTGAGGGGGGACATGATTGCTCTCTTTAAATATTTGAAAGGCTGTCATTTGGAGGAGGAGGAGGGCAAGGAGCTGTTCCAGTTGGTGACAGAGGATAGGACCCGAAGCAACAGGTTTAAATTACATGCAGAAAGGTATCGGCTGGAAATTAGGAAGAACTTTTTCACAGTCAGAGTGGTTCAAAGGTGAAATCAGCTGCCTAGGGAGGTGGTGAGCTCCCCTTCACTGACAGCTTCCAAGAAGAGGCTGGACGAACATTTGTCAGGGATGCTTTAGGCTGGTCCTGCATTGGGCAGGGGGTTGGGCTAGATGGTCTGTATGGCCCAGCTCTATGATTCTATTATTCTATGCTGAATGGGAGCCTCGCATGCTCCTATCGTGGTTGTCTGAACTGAAAAGCTCCCCTAGTTAATGTCTGCCATTCTTCAAAAACAGCTTTGTGATATGAACATATGACGCTGCCTTATACTGAATCAGGGACAGTATTTTTTCCTCTGACTGGTGGTGGCTCTCTAGGGACTCAGGCAGAGGTCTTTCCCATCACCTGCCACCTGGTCTCTTTTCACTGGAAGGGCCGGGAATTGAACCTGTGACCCTTCAGCCAGTGAAACAAGCATTCTACAACTGAGCCGCTGTCCTTTCTGAACTTGCGCTGTCTGTCATGTCCTCTTCCAGATGCAACCTTGCTCCGGTGCAAGAGTACACCCAGGACGTTGGGATGAAGACAGACCTGGTGACGATGAACCCTTCGGTCATCCAGCGTGCCTTCGAGGACCTGGTGAACGACACCTGGCGGGAGAAACTGCTGCAGCGGTTGCACAGCCTCAACGGCAGTATCCTCTGGATCCCCGCGTTCATGGCTAAAGGGGGCAAAGAACGCGTGGAGTGGGTCAACGAGCTCATCCTCAAACATCACATCAACGTTCGCACCGCCTACCCCTCTCTGCGCCTCTTGCATGCCGTCCGAGGGTGAGTAGTTCTGGTAACTCTGGTCTGGATCTAACCTCTCTAGTAATCAGCTACCTCTTTCTTACTCACGCTCTATGGTATATTTTGCCCATCCAGAAGCTTTGGAAACATTCTGGAGCAGATGCCAAACCATAGGGTAAGAATTACGGTACAGACTGACTCGGGTATGCCAGTTTCTTTTCTATTTATGTATTTATTTATTTATTTATTACATTTCTACCCCGCCCTCCCGCCGAGGCAGCTCAGGGCGGCTTACAAACAGTTTAAAACAACATACAATTTAAAACCAGCTAATACAAGATATAAGATAAAATAAATACAATAAAACTAAGTAAATACGGCGGCATCCCATGATAAAGTGCTAGTGTGACCCAACCGGTGCAGTCTGTTCTTATTTGAACGCTTGGTGAAACAGCTCAGTTTCCACGGCTCTACGGAACTGCTGGTGGTGGAACTGCTGGTGTTTCCACGGCTCTACGGAGCTGCTGGTGGTGGAACTGCTGGTGGTGGAACTGCTGGTGGTGGAACTGCTGGTGGTGGAACTGCTGGAGGTGGAGGTGGAACTGCTGGAGGTGGAGGTGGAACTGCTGGAGGTGCCTACAAGATAGGATTGCCAAATTTATTTTCGCCGGGAGCGGGGGGCTCCCAGCCGGCGTCCTCATCATGCACGCGCGCCACGTGTGCGTCACCCGGAAGTGACATCGCACGCTGGGGGCGGGGCCACGCCATTTGCGGGGGAAACTCTTTGTTTTTTTCCCCTCAAATGGCGTAGCCCCATCCCCAGCGTGCGACGTCACTTCCAAGTGACACACACGCGGGGGTGGGGTTTCCCCCAGGCCCCGATTCCACGGGAGCGGGAATCGGGGCTCGAAACCGGGGGGAATTCCGCTCCCCGGGGGCATTTGGCAGCCCTACTACAAGAGCAGCGAGTATAACATTCAAGTGTGGAATCTTTTCCTATGATAGTTCCTCTTTTGGATTTCTGCCTATAAGGCATGGCTTGAAAGTGACTCCAGGCAGCAAAGTTAGCAGCCCAAGACTGGTTTTCTGCATGTAGTTTTGGGGTCACCAGAACCGGCTTAAGGTGGCAAATGCTCAATATAGATAGTCCTTTGTTGCCCTTCAGAGCAACAAAGCTGTCTTTCTGCTCATGGGCTGATTTGCTCAAAAGGGGGGGGGAAGCTTCAGGTGACCAGGTCATGGGAGGGGGAGGAGGAGGAGGAGGAAGAGATTGGATTTATACCCTGCCCACTACCCGAAGGAATCTCAGAGCGTCTTACAATCTGCTTTCCCTTCCCCTCCCCACAACAGACACCCTGTGAGGTAGGTGGGGCTGAGAGAGCTCTTTTGAGGGCTACCCTTGAGAGAACAGCTCTGAGAAAACATGTGACTGACCCAAGGTCACAGCAGCAGCTGCATGCGGAGGAGTGGGGAACCGAATCCGGTTCTCTCAGATTAGAGGCCGCGCTCCCAACCACTACACCAAACTGGCAGAGGAGCATTCTGTTTTAAAGGCACGTGTTGCTGCAACGAATGAGGCGGAGAGAGGACCAAGGAAATCAACAGCTGGTGCTGAGCAGCACTGATTCAATTATAGCCCCCGAGCCACGGAGAGTCTCCAGCATTTGGCCGAAAAGGCGACAGGCTGACCGGCCATATGGCTCGCTCTGCGTCCTGCGGGGACAGTCAGAATTATAACTGATGGTTAATTAATGAGCACAGATTGCTGCTCCTTTGCGACCAGGGTGCTGCAATGTCTTCAGCCTGAGGAATCTGAAATCGTGCAAGTGCAACACTATGCGGCACGAAGGTCAGGAAACGCTTCCGCTTGTTAGGCAGCTGTGTGAGGCAGTGGAGGCCTGTCGTGCAACGCTGTGGCCTCTGTACACCAGGCCGAGCTGTAGCAGAGTCAGATTTCCTGCCCAGATTTTGGTTTTGCCGACTTGAGACTGGAGACAGATAACCCTTCCCGGAGGCAATTGCTGGGCATAGGCGTTGTGTCTGATGGTATGTACAAGCTTGTTTCTTCTGGCCTGCGTTGATCACTGGGTAAACCAAGGTTTTGGAGCCAATACAGAGATGTCGGTAGGATGAACATGCACCCCGTGGGCAATGGTAATCTTTTATGTAAGCTACTCTGAGCCTTCTCTGGCGGGCAGGGAGGGTTGTCAATCAAATAAATAAATAAAAATAAATAAATAATGGTAGCTGTGTTCCATAAGAACATAAGAGAAGCCAATGTTGGATCAGGCCAATGGCCCATCCAGTCCAACACTCCGTCACACAATGGCCAAAAATACCAGGTGCCACCAGGAGGTCCAGCAGTGGGGCCAGGACACTAGGAGCCCTCCCACTGTTGCCCCCCCCAGCTCCAAGAATACAGAGCATCCCTTGCCCCAGACCAAGAGTTCCTATTTATACCTTGTGGCTAATAGCCACTGATGGACCTCTGCTCCATATGTTTATCCAATTCCCTCTTGAAGCCGTCCATGCTTGTAGCCGCCACCCCCTCCTGTGGCAGTGAATTCCATGTGTTCATCACTCTTTGGGTGAAGAAGGACTTCCTTTTATCCGTTCTAACCCGACTGTTCAGCAATTTCATGGAGTGCCCACGAGGTCTTGTCTTGTGAGAAAGGGAGAAAAGTCCTTCTTTCTCCACCTGCTCTATCCCATGCATAAACCTCGATCATGTCACCCCTCAGCCGTCGTTTCTCCAAGCTAAAGAGCCCCAAGCGCTTTAATCGTCCTTCATAGGAAAGTGTTCCAACCCTTTTATCATTCTAGTTGCCCTTTTCTGCACTTTTCCCAATGACACACCCTGCTCGGAGGAGGAACTACAGCTCAGGACTTAATGAAATTTATATTTCTCCCTAAGCTCATGTAATCCACGTGCACATGAGAGTTCCTAACTGGTCATTCCCCCCACAAATGGGGCCCTATTTGGATTGGGAGTGAAGCACGCAAGGACAAAGTGCTTCCGCCTCCCTCCACCAGTGCCGTTTTCCCTGTTTGCCCATTGGGGGCAACCTGTTTACTGATAGGGTACATGAAAGTTCCCTAAAGGGGCACATGGAGTGACTCAGGGCCCTTTGGGTTATGATGTAGGGGAGAGGTTGAAACCCCCCCCCCCTTTTATGCACTGAGGTCTTGATCCAAATTGGGCCCCATGTGCCTGGGAACTTGAGTTTGCAGAGGGGCGTGCACAAGTACCTGTCTGTCCATTCTTTGGTATTCTTTTGGTATTTTTAAAATATGTACGTGAGGGTATGTGCATCTGGAAGTCATGGCAACCTCTGGTGACTGACCCCTCCTGGGAGGCTGGAAGTATTCAGAGAGATGGCTGAATAAAGCCTGCCCCTGTCCTCCCGACTGCTGGCATTCCAAGGAGGTCTCCCATCCAAGTCATCGCCAGAGTCGGCCCCGCTTAGCTTCCAAAATCTGATGAGAGCAGGCTTGCCTGGGCTATCCAGGTCCGGGCAGGTCTGTCCAATCTTGAGGTGGGGCCAGACCTGAGCCAAGTCATGCAGTTAAGTCATCTCTGGCCATTCACTTGCACGTCGCAGATCCAGTCCCTGGTAGGGATGGGCACAAACCGGGAAAAACTAAGTTTGGTTCAAATTTCGTGAACCATGGGCCATTGCAAACTTTTTGCTGCCTCGCAAACCTGCTCGGTTTGTAAGGCATAGAATGGCCCCCCAGCATGCTAGGGATGCCAGGCTTGTGGGAGATCTCCAGTTCACTCTCCTCTACCTGCCCTCCAGGTTTGGTGAGGACTGGATTTACGGGGTCTAAGTTCTGGCTCCCCAAACAAGGTGCCCCCAGGAAAGTGCTTTCTGGGAAATGACAGGTGCAGGTTCAGGAGTGTATGGAAGAGATCCTGTGCAAGCTAGAAACACCAGACTTACAGCAGACCTTCCCCGGATGCTCTTCTGCATGCCCTCCAAGTTTGGGGTCTCTAGCTTTCACAGGATCCATTCTGTACACTCTTGAACCTGCGCCTTTCAAAATGACTGGCAGAGATCAGTCAGGTGGGGGTGGGCTGAAACCCTGCCTTTCCATGCACCGTGGACCTGACATACGCCTGGGAACTAAGTTTCCATCTAGGGACTCCCAGAACACAAAGGCGATGGGGGATATAACCAAAGTGTAGAAAATTATTCATGGTGTCTAAATGGAGGGAAAGA